TCTTTTTCACTGTTTGATCTAATCAAGATTTTTCTAAGATTTTACACTACAAAATAGGTAAAAGTGTGTGACTTGCACTGTTATAGTAACGGGTCAATATCGGTATCGGTCAATATCGGTATCGGTCAATATCGGTATCGGACATTTCTCAAAGTTGTAATATCGGTATCGTATCGGAAGTGAAAAAGTGGTATCGGGACATCCCTACATTACATCCAACTAATCTCTGGACATGGTTAAAACTAATTAATTTGCCATCACAAGCAGCTAATTGTGAAGGTTTTTCAAAAATAATGAATCAAAGTTTGACAATTTTACACAACTAACCTAATATTAACATGAATAAAAATCTTTTGCTGAAAATGCCGAATGAAGTGAAAAAAAAAACTGCATTAAATACAGTTGTTTTTAATGTTATCAGGTTGGTATTGCAGCTTAGCAACACACAAATGCAAGAGTGGCTCAACAGAATGACATGACCCCTTCTGTCCTCGCCTGAATTCATTTTCAGTTTTAGTGTTTGGGATTTAGAGATTAAAAAATTGATAATATCATAAGACAAGCCACGCGCTGCAAGGTTTCTTTTATAATTGATAAATAACTGAAGAGTTTGTTGAGTTTAGCAGCCACTGTAAAGAAAAAATGCACTAAGCATCACTGATTCTTAAAAAACTGCTAAATGCTTGTTCAACCACAGACCACATTAGAAAAATACATTTTAATGTATGACCATCACGTTATAGACAAACGATTAAAAGACCTGAATATCATTTGAGTATTCTGTAAAAGGCATGAACTGAATTTCACCAAGTTTCCAGGAAACATCTATTTTGTAAGAGGTTGTGTTCAAGTGTTGAGGACTTTGAGGCGTTCTGTGGTCTAGGACCTCCGAGCGTCGGCAGCTGAGGTAAGACTTCCTGAGTTAATCGAACTGGTCACAGTACCAGATCCAGAGGAGTTGGAACTAGATGAGACAAAGGTAGTTGATTTCTTTTTGGGAGGGTTCTTCAGTGTTCCAGTGCGTTCTTTGACTTTGTATTCCAGTGTGCTATGGGGTACTCCGTAAACCCCTTGAGCCTTAGATACACTCATACGACCAGCCATCACCATACTGATGGCCTCTTCCATCAGTTCATGGTCATACTGACGGTATCTCCCACGTTTCTTTCGAGGTTGCTTGTCTTTATCCTGACAACCAAGCCCTTCCTCTGATTCATCCAGCGAGGATCCGCGTGGTGCCAAGCGATGAGGTAAACGGCTGGTACTGTCTGGGCCACTTTGTGCCAAAAATGGAGGTCTGAGTTTGATGAAAGGTAAAGGTCTGGCAGATGCTGTAGACAAACTGGCAGTGCTCTCAGTTAATGAGGAACGTTGAGGATAATTTCCGCCCGTGTTGCCGCTGTCAGCGGAGACTGACTTGTTGTGGTCAGACTTGGAACGAACCTGAGGAATGCGCAGGGTTGTGGGTATTCCTAAATTGGAAGATGGGCTTGGTGGACTCTGGAGAGCATCTCTGCGCTGAGAGGAACAGTGAGGGAGAGACTGGCCGTTTGGAGAATACAAGGCAACAGCAGACAATGGGAAACTCATGTCTCCATTCTCCTTTGTATTTCCCAAGACTTCTGCTTGTTCTGCCCACACCGCCACCTTCTGCACAACAAGACGGGCTTCGCTGCCTAATGTTGACGACATCACAATGCGAGAGGTCACATCATCCCTGAAATCTRTGGCTCCTTGTGTAAACTGCTGAAGCTCGTCCAACCTCCTTTCAGCCACATCGTCCAAACCTTGCCTGAGGGTTTGAAGAGGTATTCCATAGAGTAATGCAGCTCGTTGCTCCTGCATCCTCCCTGAACAAATATCCTTTAAAGCCTTGGACAGTAACCCCTCAGACAGCTCCCAGCTCCTCTCAATGTACTCCTTCTGCATGTGCTGCCTCCTAGGGATGGGAGGACCAAAGAGCAGGGTCAGGATGGAGGTGATGGGTTTTTATTTTGGCACAGGGGATGGGGGTGGGGTGGGGTGAAGACTGAGGGGTCCACTCCTTTATGCCTTGTGTTGGTAACATCACCAAGACTGTTAGTTTCATGTCACACTGCTGCAGTCTGTCACACACAGACACACAAAGCCTCTTCACGTCCAGGTGGGACAGTCTGTGAATGGCTGGAGTTACTTTGATGCTCACATACAGCCCTTGTAGTTTTGTGATATCCAGTGAATCTCCTAAACGCTTGAAGGTTGAATAATCAAGCTTGTGATAATTAGATCGGTAAAAAGGGAAGTAAAACCATCAAGTACTGCAACGTTCTCCTCATTGTACAATCCTGAGCTGTTGGCAAATGATAAAATTTGCTGTGACGTTACCGCTCAAGAGATAAAAGAGTCAACCCCAGAACCAAGCATCAAACACAAACTAGCTCCTGAAAATGACCTATTACTTACAAAAGCACCACAATTAGAAATACGTTTATTATTCAGCAGTGGAGATATTAGCTGTCTATATTAAATCAAGCAGCACCAGTTATTTTACCAGTTTTGTTGTTAACCAATGTCTCTATCATAAGAAAAAATGAAGTAAGCAGCAATCCCTTAATAGGATTTCCTTACATGTAATCAGTTTAGTCTCAATGAATCTTGGCCAACATTTTAAGTTTTGAGCAAATGTTTGTTTTTTTTTTTTTTATTGGTGTTGTCAGAAGTTTAGTTACGTTTATCATAGGCATTCCTTCATCCATTTTCTTTACCTGCTTTTTCCTTATGGGTAGCAGCGGAGCTGGTGCTGGTGAATTTTACATTGAGTTCAAAACATTTAAGATTTTTTTAACCATTCTTCAATGGATGGATTGATTATACAACTTCAACACTACTTAAAATTTAAGTGAGAATTTTCTTTAATTCAAACAAGCTCAAAATTATACTATCAAGTACACTGACAAATACAAACATATACATATACCCTAACTAATATTTGGTTAAACCTCTTTGTAAATTGCACCTTAGCAACAGGCCTTTTGGATCCATCAATGCGCTTCTGGTATAATTTAGTCTGGATATCTGATCGCTCTTCTAGGAAGGTTTGGTAGAGTTAAAGAGTTAGAAAAAAATATACAAAAAATATATATTTTTGAACTTATTTATTATTTTTAAAAAAATCCCTGTAGTTGTAGTTGTATAATCATTCCACCCTGGAAAGAAACTGGTTCAAATAAACACTAATGTTGATGAGTGTACACTAACCTATAACCAAAACTGTATGTTCCATCCTCGTGCAACTTAGTTTATGACAAACAATCACAACATTAGGGAAATAAAAAGCTAATAAAAACAAACTCTTACCCTGAGGCTTTGTGAACAGATGATGACAAAGTTGTTAAGCTTGAAATGTTTCTGTTTGAGAGATCCAGCACACCATCTGTGAGAAGAAATACATTTTATTAGGTGAGGATTTGGATTCAGATGATTAGTTATAATCCAGCCTGCCTGTGTTTGAAAACATTGGAAACTTGAAATATTAATGCAAAAGCTTTGAATTAAAATAGAACAAAGGAATCAGCATGTGATCAACACCAGCTGATTTTCAGCTTGATCATTTTTTTTCCAGTCAATGAAAACACCACAGCTAAGCTGCAGAATGATGCATCTGTGTAGCAGAGTGACTGAGTGACACCGATCTAAGGGGGAGGCTGAAAACAACTTCAGACTATTGAGTGAAATTTTCAAATCAAATATTTTTCTACACAAAAGACATTTCAAAGACCAAACTTTCTGCTTCATTAAATACCAGCTGCCTGTTTACAGTCAGCAGTAAAGGCTGCACAAAATATCGAAAATTTATCGAAATCATGATAACAGCCTATGCAATATGCATGTTGCAAAAAAATGCAATAAACGGTTGGCTCAAAAGTTTGTATTTATGCATTTTGTCACTCAGACAGAAGAAGTATTTCACAAATCAAATGGAGCTTTTTTACATATTTGGCCAATTGGACAGGTTTCTTCATGTTCATGCTGGAATGGAAATGATTAGTTTTTATTTTTGCTCTGAACCTAAAGCAGAAAGACATCAACACTAGATACTTATGTATTTGTTCATTTATCACAAGTCATAACGTCATCGCAGTATTAAGCACTGTTATCGCACATCGCAGGTTTTCCAAATATCGTGAAGTCCCAGTCAGCAGACAGAAGATATTTTCTGCATTCTGAATTGGCTTTTTCACTTTGTTAACAGGAGTCGACATAACCGTTATTTAGGTTGTCTGAATACGAATATTGAATAGTATTAAATGACTACTTGAGCTGAAATCCTGCAAATATAATCCATTTAAATTAAACAATCATTTTACGGGAGAACAAACAAACAAAAAGATATTCTGTGCAAAGAACTTTCATGCTATAATTTTTCAGACAGCTCCTCGGCTGAAATCATTACAATTAAAAAAAAAAAAGCAAATTAGAGAAAAGCAGTTTAAAATCACACCTCTTCCTTCAGTCTTAAAAATCTAAATATTTCAGGTTAAATTCTTCATTTATCGAAAGGACAACCTGAAAAAAACCTTCATGTCTACTTCTGAATGTCCACCACCTGCTTTATAGGTAAAAAACTACATTTTTCTGCAGTTCAGTGAGAATTATTTTACTGAGCTGGAGTGTCAAGTTTATTTTAAACACCAAACAAAATCAGCATCAACTGATCAAAGTTGTACAAGAATCAGAAATCTGAATATAAATCTGTAAAGGACCAAAAACTAAAATTAAGGCATCTCTATTGACTGTTTTTCTTACCTGGTTCAACTTTTCTCTCTTTTGCTTCAAGTGTTCGGCTTACTGTGAGATCCAAAGGGCCATCTGATGTTTCTGACAACGATGATGAGCATCTAGCGACACCATTTGTACTGGCGAGGAGCCGACATTTGGATGCATACTCGACAGCAAACTGATGTATCATCTTCTTCATCAGCCTTTGGGCCACCAGTGGAACATTTGAATCACAGTCTAAGGTCACATCTGAAAACCAGAGCAGATCAAAATGATATACTCTTAGTCAATTCGCCCTTTTCTTTTTCAATTTGTCTCAACTTTAATAAGGTTTGGACTATCAATAAAAAAGCATTAATTTAAAAATACACCAATTTCACTTTCGTTTCTTCTGTTGCCATAATGCCGGCAAAAAAGCATTCTTTCACTCGTAGCTGAACACACAAAATACAAGCTGATAATCACAACACTAAGCTGCAGAGGTCACCTGCAGTTATCACTAACAACCAACAGTAATGATATTGAATCAGCTCCAGTTCAGAAGGCTGCAAATATTTTCACTGGGTAACTGGTCTAATCAGCAAGCTGACCCATTTTGTACCCAAATCAATTCACTGCTAAGCCATCCTGTTGCAGAAAAGGTTTAACATTTATTTTCTGACAAAACAAGGCCTTCAACTTGTTCCTTGCATGTTTTTAGCATAACAGAGGATATTGCCTTAAAAAAAGAAGTCCCAATTACTTTCTTACAGGTTTAACCATTTATTAAACTGAGATTAAACAGGCTTAATAATGATCTGACTGGTTCAGACTAGTTTAGTTGAATATTATCCTATTGCCGAACGGCATTTACAATCAGTCCACATTGAAATGAGAAAGCCAAGTGCCCGACCTTTTTTGTGAAACACAGCTTGAAGGAACTTGTGCGCTGATTGGCTGCTCTCGGAGATAGTTGAGGTCTGACACGGAGAGTAATCTGAGGGGGAGGAGAGAGGCGATGTGGCTGCAGGTGCTTGATCCTACATAAAAACAGGAGACTGGTCACTCCACAGAGCTTGCATCAGAATGTTAGATTTCCATCTGTGTAGATCTGAAAATGCCTTTCTGACAGGGCAGACATAATCCTTACGCTAAGTTTGTCCAGTGGAACGTTACAGAATGAACAATGGGAGCAGCTCGCTTCTGCAGACCAGTCATCCACCTCTTCAGGTTCACAGTCTGAAACACGCAAGAACACAAACAGCATATGATTCAGGCGTAATTAGAGTCGGTATGGTCATCAAGTCAACGTTACAGCATGAAACTCAATGAGATGCAACAATGCTGCAAGGTCTGTTTCTGTTAACTCCCCGTTTTTTATCCATGCATTGTGGTCGTGTGTGAAAACAGATTGCACTGTGTTCTGCCATGCTGACTCACCTTTCTTTACACAGCCGCTGGTGACAACTAGTAATAAAACATCTCCACACACAGGATTGAGTTGCTAGCTTTTTGTGTTTCACACAAGTCATAAAACAGGCAGTTATTTTGCTGTTTTGGACAGCTTGGTTGACTAAAAACATGTTTGTGAATGCTTTGGGATAATTTGCATATATTTTCTTATTTTAAGAGGTATATATTTTAAAAGGGCAGACTAAGTGATGTTTTAGAGACAGTACGCAGAGGTTGTCAGTGGTTTCCTTTGCTTTACAAATAAAGCAGACCTTGGAGATTTGTTATCTCTTTAATTTAATCTGAGTACTTTAGGAGTTATTTACAAGAAGAAAAAAAGAGAGTTGTCCCTAACTTTTCAACAAAAACCCTGCTACAACAGATCGGAGATGTCAGCCACCTGAAAGTTACCACATAGAGGAAAACTATTTTTAGATTGTTTTAAAAATGCCTTTCTCTTTACACAAACTATAAAAAAAAAATCTGTAAAAAAAAGGTATATATTTTATGATGACTGCTAAACAACTTTAATTAAGTAAACAAAAATAACAGGCACTGCATTTATTCTAAAATTAAAGTATTGGCTTAAGTTTTCTTAATAGACACATAGACTGGACAATTTAAYTTAATTTGGTGAGACAAAACAAACATTAAAATATTACATTTTATTTAATGTAGGTAGGTAGGGAAACCAATAACCCACCCACCGTTAAATAAATGTAGATCTTTCAGCAGCAATGGGCCATAGACTCCCTCCAGAATACTCTCAAATCCTGAAAGATAAAATGAACAACCTGTTAGTAATGCTACGGACGACGACCTTATCATTTGCCTACAAATAAAGCATTTTTCCRCCAAGGCCTAGTATGACAAATAGACGGCTGTGCTTCATGGTATATTAAAAACACTTGTCATACAATAAACACTTTACAGATTACAGCAGTATCTAATATTTATTAAACAATAAATAAATTGGTAAACAAAAGCAGATAGTCCTGTGTTAGATATATTATTTGACTTTGTACTTTCATTTAAGCGCTAGCATCACGTTAACACTAGGCTGTTTTTGCAGCATTAAATTAGCGTTTAGCAAGCCACTGAGCCGAAAAAAAAGCGTCGACAAAGACAGCTAAAAGGCCTTTTTCATACTATACTGACATTAGCTCTTACAATAACATCAACACAAATCTCAGTCGAGTGTTTTAATTACCTTAGCCTAGCATCGCATTAGCATWGTGCGATAAATAATATGAACGCGTCAGTAAACAAATCCAGTCACAGACGTGTTATATTATATAAAAGTATGTGGTACGCGTTWCAAATCTATTTCAAAACCTTCTCATTTACACAAAAACGCCTGCACAGCTAACACCGGCGGCCAGCTAGCTTTATCAGCCGGGGACAAAGAAAGGGAGTGAACTCGAAAAGAGCTAGCCGCTATAGCCGCTGTTGTAGACAAGCTAGCGACAAGMTAGCTGGTCTGAGCGGCTCTCTCTGTGTTGTCCGCCAAAAAAATATATAATCGATTTTAAGGCTCATACCAACGCAGTGTATCAGTCTATGTCGCCAAGAATCAAGTTCCCGCCGAAACCCTCTTTTTTCTGCCGTGCATCTGGTGCACTGCACGGCCGCCATTCTCGCACCCTCACCCCTCTCTCCCCCTCTCTCACTGGCTGACCAACTGGATCAGAATCAGCACCGGTAACACACAAAACTGACCACCAGGGGGCGCGCACGTTCTTCTTCTTTAGTTTAGTTAAAGGAAAGCAAAGTGCAATACTGCCATCTAGCACAAAATTGGATTTTTTACCACCACTTTGGTATTTTCTTTCTATCTTTATTATTTATTTATTTTGGTATTTTCTTTATT